CTGTTCAGCTGTTCTCCGTACCTGTGGATTGTTGACCAGTGGTTTATACCTTAAGCTTTGTGGCAATAACTGCTTTCTGAGCCATTCATGCAGGAAGTATAGTTGTTCGTGGGTCGTGCTCAGCCAGATAGCATTTGTTTCCCATCTGTGGACCAGTTTGAGGGTGTTGCACCAGTAGGTGTTTAAAATTTTCAAGAAGATTTTTAGCTCGGGTTGTGGATGAAGTTGTAGATTTGCTTGCTGAGCCAGTGTGTTTGGTTACAGACGTTTTGTCACCCTGCTAGGTAACATTGTCAGTGCGCCTCCGGTGAAGTATTGGTGTTCTGTCCCACTTGATATTTATATGCCTTGGTTTGTGGGGTGTTTGGTACCACTTCCTGTTCTGTTTCTCAGTGGTTTGTACACTGAATCTAAATCAGTGTGTTTGTTGATGGAGTTCTGGTTAGAATACCAGGCCTCCAGGAATTCTCTGACATGTCACTATTTGGCTTGTGCTATTATGGCTGTGTTGTCCCAGTCGAATTTGTGTCCCTTGATGTCCATGTGTAGTGAGACCAGTGAGAATTGGTTGTGTCTCTTGGTGGCTGGTTGGTGTTCATGTATCCGTACAGTCAATTTTCTTCTGGTTTGGCCTATGTAGCGTTTCTCACAGTCCTTGCATGGTGTTTTGTATATTACACCAGTTTTTCTGGTTTTGGGTATAGGATCCTTTACGTTTATCAGAGCTGTCGTAGGGTGGTTATTAGTTTATGGGCTACACTGATAACTAGGGGTCTGAGTAGTACAGTCCAAGGTATATAAGTAACAAGTGTGACAGAACACCAATGCTTCATTGGAGGTTCACTGATGATGTTACCAGCAGGGTGACGAAACATTTGCAACCAAACCAACCGCCAGCTCGACAAGCATGTCTACAACCTCTTCGGGCTCTATCCTATTGTTTACTCCCTACCCCACCCACCTCCCTATTTTCTGCATATAAACTGACGTTTTCCCAGCCACTATCCGTTCTGAGGAAGGGTCACCGGACCCGAAACGTTAACTCTGTTTTCTCCTTCACAGATGCTGCCAGACCTGCTGAGCTTTTCCAGCAACTTTGTTTTTGTTCCTGATTTACAGCATCCGCAGTTCTTTTGGTTCCTACAACCTCAGTACTGTGTACAGTTCTGGTCTCCCTGCTATAGGAAGGATATTAAATTGAAGAGGGTGCAGAAAAGATTTACAATGATATTACGGGGACTGGAGGTTTGAGTTATAAGGATAGGCTGGGACTTTTTTCACTAGAGCATAGGAGATTGATGGGTGACCTAATAGAGATTTAAAAATCAGAAGGGGCATAGACAAGGTGAGTAGCAAAGGTCTTTTCCCTAGAGTAGGGGAGTTCAAAACAAGACAGCGTAGGTTTAAGGTGAGAAGGGAAAGATTTAAAAGGGATCAGAGGTTGGTTCATATGTGGAATGAACTGCTAGAGCCAGTGGGTAGGTTTAACTACAGCTATGAAATTTAAAAGACATTTGGAGAGGTACATGACAAGGAAAGCTTTCGATTGGACATGGGCTAAAGGCAGGCAAATGGGGCAAGTTCAGTTCGGAAACCTTGCTCGCCATGGATGAGTTGGACCGAAGAGTCGGTTTCCGCGCTGCATGACTCTATGGGTGGTCTGTTTTTGAACACTCTGCATTATGTAATGCCCTGAAATAACAGATGGCTGTGGGTTGGAGTCAAATGTAACGCCGGGCGAGCGGTGTGCTAGGAATTACGGTAAGGTTGCTATTATGAGTGTAGCCAGCAGGAGGCGGGCGGCCGCTGTGAGTCGGACGGGAGCCGGTTCCCACAATGCTGCTGCGCCCTGTTTGGAGAGCAGCTTGTACAATGCGGCGGGGCTGAAAGCAAACCCTCCAAGTACTGGTTTTTTCTCCTTAATGTAAGCGCATTTTTTTTTAAACGCCGCTTCACTTTTGCATTTGCAGAAGACGTATCTTTTTAAGAAAAACCGCAAAGGAACAGACGCCTCCAGCGCACTCCGGATTATGTAAGTCATTTTGTTTTCCTTGTATCTAAGAGATTTATTTTTGGGGTTGCTGAAGCCAGGCTGTGTGTTGGAGAGATACCGAGCCGTGGTCTGGCATACACGGGCCTGTGTGGCTGCTGCGAGCAAAGCGGCTGGAAGTCGCTATTTCGGGTTCCTTTGACTGCAACATGTCTGATATAGTGTTGCACCGAGACTTGTCGTTTCTCAATTGCCTGGAAAATGCTTCTTCCCTTCACCTCTTGCCTTGCCCTACCGGCTACGGGCCTGGATATTTCTTGGCTCCGGGTAAGCTTGCTGGTCGCTCCCCCCCCCCCCCGTGTGTTTAACTATAGCATCAATTCAAGGGAAATCCGTTCTTAGACTTGTTTTCCAGAATCGCTTCGCGTTAGTGCATTTTTTTTTTCAAAATACAGTCTGGAAGTTTCAGACCATAGATGACACCCGATTCATCGGCTGTCGGTTTGCTTTGGCTCTGTATATGATCCACTTCACGACTGGAGTTTCCTGTGGCGATAAGAGGCGAAGCAGCCAATTGAAAGAGTATTGCTCAGTATACCTTAACCCCACCCTCTCAAGAATCCACTAACTAGCCTCGGCCAAAAGTTACTAGGAACTTGCTGGCTTTTGTTTTGCTCCGCTGGCTGAGGTCATTGCTGATCACCCTGTGCAGCCGATCGAGTGGAAAACAAATATTTTGCTCAATGGCCGATCTTGAACGAACGGGATTCCTCGTCCACATCAGTGACAGCATAGCGGGTAATGCATAAGTGTATTTTTTTTGTCAGAACACACCACACTGCGCAGTGAAAAGTTCTCATTTCCAGATTTGCATTTAAAAAAAAATGTGGGGCACAGGAGAGGTTGCAAGAAAGTTAAAATCTCTTCACTTTTGGTAATAATCAGAAACAACTGAACAGGCTTGGGCTCTGTGAGATGACGTAGGTGACCTGATGTCTTTAAAATTGTGGAAGGGTTTAATTTACTGTAGATTTTGAGAAGACCATTCTACTTCTGTGTAAGCCTAAAACAGGGACCTTTAATATAAGGTAGTCTCTAAACCAAATAAAGAATTCAGAAGAAATTTGTTAATTACACCGGCTAGAATGTGAAACCTGCACAAGATGTGGTTGAGGTAGGTAATATGCAAGTCTAGTGAAGTCGATAAGATGTCGCACAAAAGGTTCTTATGCAAAACTATGCTACTCGGGTAACAAGGTGTAGAGGTGGATGAACACAGCAGGCCAAGCAGCATCAGAGGAGCAGGAAAGCTGACGTTTCGGGCCTAGACACTTCCTGCTCCTCTGATGCTGCTTGGCCTGCT